AAAACAGTAAAAAAGTAACATGTAAATTATGTGCAAAAATATATTATCAGTTGGAACTAAGTTGGAGAAATAAACATGAAGGTGAATTAAATTATAAAACGTGAGGTAAAGCTCTCTTTTTTATTTACTTGGCACATTTTTAATTGAATTTATTTATTGGTCCATTTATATATTTCTACTTTTTTTCTAGTTATGTCAGTGTCGGTCCTCCATACTGCAGAACTTGGTAATTTAATGTCTGAATCAGGTGTGTTGGAGCAGGGAAAAACAGAAAACCTGCTGGGCTGCGGCCCTGGAGGACCAGGATTGCCCACCCCTGTTTTAGCTCTTTTGAAAATTCATATCAGTTTTAAACCAGATGTTAGAGTCAGAGCGTTTATAGGAGATATTTTTACCAGAAAATTACATATTTTTAACCATAATTGTCTTAACAAGATAACAATTGACTAATTTTTATCTTGATAAACAGCTTTTTGTGTGTGTGTTTTATAAAGTTTTATAAAATTGTCAACATTCAAAAAATGTAAAGATATTTCCTTCAGGTGAAGAGAGCCAACCAAGCTGAGTTTGTGTTTTTCTTTACAAAAAACAACCCACACTTAATTAAAATGTCATAATGAAAGTTGTTTAATTGTCTGTGAAATGATTATTTATCCAAGTGTGACTTTAATTAAACAAAGTTAGTAAATTCATTACAGTTTGTTTTATCACTTGATTAATCTGCGTTTATCATCAAATGTTTATATTTTTCATCTTTTTTTGTGCAGATTTATAGATCTAATCAGTTTAGGTTCGTGATCTATCAGCTTATTTTATCTGGTTTTAATTGATTATTGAACCAGATGAGTGAGTGTTTTGGTCAGATAACTGTGTTTATACTTTAAAGGCAAACTGACATCGATTTGGTCTTCATTAAAATCACATTTTAAACCCATTTTATGTAATTTTCGATGTTGCGCATCAACAACAGGCTGACGGTGAGACAACACCACTGAATATTTTCTCTTTTTATATTTATTTATTTTTTTATTTATTTATTTATTTTGGCGGGCTGCTGGTGAGATAATTGGATTGTATCGGAAACTGCAAGATCCATTTGGCAAAGTTCAAATGAGATGGATGGTCTACATCCTAATTATCAGACCTGAGCTCTGCATTAACATCTGAGTCAAAGACTCCCTGAAGAGTCCAGGTGCTGCCCTTATCACCCACAATAATCAATCAGGATTGTCCTGTTGCACACGCGTGTGTGTTTCACGATCAATGTGTGAAAATACTGGGTTCATGCCTCTTAGATCAACATCAGTTTTGAAGAACTTTTAGTTTATTTTTGTGTTCTCTTCTGATCATGTTCAGTAGTCATTGTAGAAGATAGAGCTCCTGGATGTCAGCAGGTAAAAGACGAGGACAGGAAGCTGTGAGATCCGTCCCAGTTCCCTAGCAACCCCGCTTGTGGTTTGAAACTTGTACTCCTTTATGTATTTGTTTACCACAAGTGGTAAAAAGTGCTGTATAATCTGAAGCCAGTGTTCAGTGTTTGGACTCTTATTATTTTCACGAGTTGATCTCATGAGTTGATCTCTCACAGTCATCGACCTTGACAGCGAACGCGCTGACTTCGCTGTGTTGTGTGGGTTGAAATGTTTTAGAGTTAGCTTTAAATAAATAATAAAAAAAATGCATGTGTGCAGAATGTGAACGTCATGTTGTGGGTTTTTGTTATGTGAATAATAATTCTAGCATTCACACTGTTTTCATGTTTTGCAATTCAGATATTTAACCTTTTATATCAAAATATTCACCTCGTTCAGGCGATGGGTGTGACTTTTGTGTGGGTTTTTGTATCTTTTTTCATATTTTTATGCTATTCTTAGCTTTTTAATACTTGTAACCTTCARTTTCCTGTGATCAAGATGTGCATTTGCTACTTTTAATTTTAGCTACCTTTTTGTTAAGTTTATCTTGTTCACCTTTTAGCATTTACGTAGGTATTTTGCTACTTTTGCAAATCATTTAGATGCATTTAGCTCTGATCTAGCATTCCTTGGCTTTTAACTTGCGTTTTGCTTCTTTTAGTTCCAGATCTTAGCTTTAATTTAGCTTTAGCAGCTTCTTCAGCAGATTTCAGCACTCACATTGCATTTTTTTCAGAAACATCAGTTTCTCTGCTTCAGATGTATTTATATATATATTTTTTACTGTTGCCTAAATGCTTCTGCACTTGTTGATTTGTCTCTTTCTCTGTCAGATGTGTCCTTGGTCAGGGTGAGTGGGTGCGCTGCAATGCTCGTATTCAGAAACCGTGCCACTTCCCGGTGTTTGGCCTAGAGGAGGGAACCTTGTACCAGTTCAGAGTCCGTGCCGTGAACCAAGCCGGAGCAGGACGACCCTCTAAAGCCACGGAGCCCGTTCTTACTTTTGACACTCTGGAACACACCAGGACGATGGGTAACGCCTTAAACACAGCTTTGCATGACTAGAACAACAAAAATAACATTAAAGTTGTTTTTTCTGCTTGATTTGCTGTATAGAAGTTATTTTTATACATTATTCAATATAGATATTCTTTTTTTGCCTTTCTTGGGTGGCAAAAAGAAAGCATAAAAGGATCCACTTCAATAAACAACCAGCACATAATTCACTGATCATTTGGTAAATGAAATGTAGTTTTAAAAACTCAACATGCAGTGTGTTTTTGTTTTTTGTTAGAAAGTGTTTCAAACCAGCAGCTTTTATTTTCGTTCCTCCATTAAATGTGTTTGGACGATGACAGAGGCAGATACCGGTGCAGGCTGACCTGCTGTGTCAGTCTGCTTTGTTTCTTCTTTTCTTTAAAGATGCAAGAACCATATTCAACAAAAGCGTTGACAGAAAAAAATATCCCGTCTGTTTCATCATTACAGCTCCTGCTGACAATGTAAAAGTCCAGTGGAGAACAAGAAAAGACTTAAACTTCAAAGTCTGCAAGTCTGTATTTTTATTGTTTTGCATTCTTGCGAAAGTAAACATGTAGCTGTGTAAAACCATACGCAGCTCTTTTTGACTTTATGACTCATAATGAAACTTGGATGAAACCTTTTCTTTACTTTTTTATATTTAGTCCTTTTTCCTTGACATCTGCAGCGTCCTGCAAACAGCAACATGTTTGTGACTCTGTCCTGCTGTTTGCCTCAGTTGCCCTGTTTCACCTGCAGAGACTTCATCATGGCCAGAAAAAAGAGAGAAATAAAAATAAAAATCAGACGCAGCCGTGCAGGTTTAGATCTCATCTCGTGCAGTTGTCCCTGCGACCGCTTCCTAATGACATCATTGAGTGCAAAGCTTTGTTTCTTCAAAGATTACCTTTAGAGCTGCTCGGTTCAGTCAGATCCCAGGTACAGTGCAGGGGTGAGATTGATGAATGGGATGTGAGTAAGAGCGAGGACAGATGGACTGCGGACAGATGCTGTGGATCATTAAACACAGAWGAAGGACAGACACAAGGCTGGCTCGCCTCCGCCCCCCGCCCCCTCCTCTCCATCCTGCCGTGTCGCTCTCACTCGCCTCTTTGCGTCTGGCTGCTTCTGGAACATTTGCAAAACAATAAAAATATAAAAAAAAMCTGTCATTACGGTTTCTCATTTAACTTTTTTCCCCTCTTTTCTGTCTATATTCCTTCATCTCATGTTTCTGTCCTCTCTCAGTGRTCAGAGTGGATGGAGGAAGGACCATTACCATTACAAAAGATGAACTAGAAGGTGAGAGTGCTTTTCTTTTTTTTTTCCTGTTTTTTACAGAGCATTTATGTTTTATTGGAACCTGTGCCGCCRCCGCCTCCTCGCCTGTAGGTTGCTCCGGGCTTTTGGCTTTAATGCATCTTCATATTATGCTTAACAATGAGCTCCAGTAATTGTATGGCTGAAGATATGGGCATTTGCTCCATTTGAAGCAGTGAAAAGAATGAAAAGTTCCCCGTGGTGTCCCGGTAAATGCACATAATGGCCTGAGGTAGAATAAATGCCCATGAAGGGAGCTGATAACCTTGACAATGTAACTCACAGACTGAGATGGGCAACGGTTGGAGGGGGGAGGAGGAATGTGTGTTGGAGGGGGCCAACAGAAATTAGATGTAGTCCAGACAGTGCAACCTTTTTTATCTGTTCTACGATGGAGGTTTGGCCTAGGAAGAAAACACCAATGGGTCAAAAAAATGTGGTAATTAAATTACTTTATTACCTCCGCCAAGGGCGAGGTAATGTTTTCGGTCACGTCTGTCTGTCGGTCTGTCATTCTGTCTGTGGACAACATTACTCAAAAACTTGTGGACGGATTGTCATGACATTTTTACCACATGTGGGTACTGGGCCAAGTAACATACCTTTAAATTTTGGTGATGTTCTGGATCACGATGTGGATACAGGGTTTATTTTTTGTCTTTCTTTTAACACTCTGAGATCGGCAAAGCTGTGATGCTTTCACAGGGCGTGGGTTTCAAAGTGTCCAGCAGGTGGCACTGTAGTATTGGTGTGCCCCTTTGTAACTCTATTGCAGGATGGGGGAAATTGGTCTTGGCGGAGGTTTGCACTCTCCGAGTGCTTCTAGTTTTGATTTTTTTAATTGAATTGAATTAGCTTTATTGTCATTCACACACAACATCAAAGATGCAATGCAGAACAAAATTGCGGTTAAGAACACCCGTTCGAAGAAAGACACACATAACAAACCTGGGGGAACGGATGGCCAGGTCTTGTGCAACACGGTCCCGCTACCTTTTGCAGCTTGGAAAATAAAACACCCAATGGGATAGATGAGTTTAAAAAGTTGCTCTGATCCTGTATTTACTCATAAACACAGAATCAAATGCACAAAAAAATGGCTCGCAAGAGCAGACAGCTAAGGAGGGGAGGGGGCTGGGGATCAAACACATGGTACAGGGTGAGATGCATTGGAGCCAGTGACGTTTCAGGTTAATACTCTGTGCTGGAACCAATCAAAGACCCCCCAGAGTCCAAAACCAGTTCTTATCAACCAAAGCTCAGTTAACCAGAGTTCAGTTCTCTGTCACCTCCACTGTGGCTTTAGGACTGGTCCACCCATGGATGATATGGGGGAGGAAATGGGTGAATCGAGCCTTTGTTCACGTGTCATCCAGGGAAGTTTTTATCACTGTCAACCGTCCAAGGTCAGCAGCTGCAGGGATCCGAAAGATAAACATAATTGTTTTGGGAAAAGCAGCCTTGATTTTCTTGCTGCTTTAAAGTCTGTAACTGTATATCTGTAATGGCAAAAAAAATGCCAAATGTTTTGAATTTCATCACCTCCTCGCCTCTATTTCTGTCTGAAACTTCACCCAGGTGTAATACTATACTACATCTCATGGGTACGCAGCTGAGCTTTGATTCTCATCAGAATCACATTCAGTTTGCGACTTATATCCCCCAACATCTGAGTCTGTGTGTTTCCTGTACGGGAGATTCCATCCAAGGTTCCTGACAGCTTCTCAGAGGCCCGGACTGCTGTCAGTATTGCTTTCATTTTCCGATAAACCAGAACTCCTCCACAGCCGATCAGCAGGAATCCGGTTATCATGAATCCAAATATGTACAAATCTTCCACGTCTTCAATGGAAAGCGGYGCCAAACAGATCAGGTTCCAGCCCCAGGAACCAGTGACCTGACCAGCCGCCAACATTCCACTGGGACAGCTGCGCTCCCCATGCTCCAATCTCAGTGTGGAGAAAATAGTGTCGATTACAAATGTATTTTTCAGTAACACAACTTTGCCTGTCAATGAAGAGAAACGGGGCAGAGCCATTTATTTGATTGGCTGTTCCTTTACCTAGAAAAATTAATCATGTACAGATATCAAATTAYGCCTAAAGGTGCAATGAATACAATGGGTATGCAGGTCCAACCCACAGATGCTGATTGACAGATGAAGTCATTTTGCTGAGAAGTGTCATTATGAAACAAATAAGCCATTGGAAAAAACACTATTATGAAATAAAATGACTGTGGAAAGGACATTTTGGAATAAAAACTGCTGGAGTTACATAAAAATGCCTCAAAAATTATTTCTGTTATTGGGAAAAAAAATTTCACTGTGAAAAAATGTTTCAAAAACAATAAGCACATTTTTACAGCAGAATGAAAAATGTTCAGAATAATGACCTTAGAATTTTATATGCATTCATTTATTTCATGTCACTCTATAGATTTATCTATTATGTATTCATAAAGATACTGAATTCATAATGTTTTATTTATGTATTAATTTATTTATTTGTGTGTTTATTTATTTATTTGTGAACATTTTGATGTTCCATAATGTTAGATTTTTTTTAGGTCCAGTTGACCATGGCAGTCATCTTGAATTGGGTTTATCCCAAAGTTTATCAGTTGTAGATGAAGGTTTCATTAAAATCTGTCTGGTGGATCATAAGATATTTTGCTAACAGACAGATACATAAACACAGACATGTGCAAAAACATTATTATTCAACTTTACTTTTTATAAGCTGGCAATAATGATGGAAATATGAGTGAAAGTCCATTTTTTCTCGTTTTCAAATCTTTCAATTTGTTCTTCTCATGTCAGAAAAATAAAATGAACTTTTTACATAAAATAACAAAAGTTTTTAAAAGTTTATGATCTCTTTAGTATGCCGAGGTTCTAAAAGAACAATATCAGCAAATTTTATTGTGTGCCTTTTTTTGTCGCTGCAGCAATTATTCTCCACAAAGGCAAGTATATAAAATGGAGCCACGCTGATTACAACACACACACACACACACACACACACACACACACNCACACACACACACACACACACACACACACACACACACACACACACACACACAGGAGCATGCTGCCTCTAACAGATCAGCGTTTTTCCAAGTGGCTTCTCTTCTTCTGCAGTAAAAGTTCTTTTCTGGTTGGTTCTGCGGTTCTGTTGACTCTACAGGGAAACAAGCAGAAAACCTGCAGAAGCAGAACAGTTTGTGCTAGACCCAAAGCCTTGCATCGTCCTTGATCTGCAGCGTCGGTGAACACGTGCTGATCCCAGCCAGCTGATCTCATCTGGTGCACTTGGCATGAAAAGAACTGAGGTTAAACCGGGGCAGAAAGGTCCTGAGTTTCTCCCTCCCTCCTGAACAAGGAAATAACAAGACATGAAGATGCCCTATAACTCAGCCAGCACTTTCTGGATTCCACTTTCATTCTCATTGACCTTCTTCTTTTCTTCATCCTCCTCCTCCTCTCGTTGCTCTGCAGGTCAGGTCAGAGCTCCTTTCCCTCCCACAAACGTGCACGCCTGCGAGGTGAGCGACACCTACGTGGTGCTGAGCTGGACCGAGCCCGAACCCAGAGGCAGGGAGCCGCTGACCTTCTACGTGGAGAGGGTCAGTCCTTACTCCCACACACAAAAACACTCAAACACAAACACACCTCCTTACAAATACATACAGAACACATTAAACCAACTCTGATAACCTCAGATTATTGTAATTATCACCAAACGTTTTATCCGAACAGAAATCTCTTTCATCGTTTTCACTTGAAACTATAAAAATCTGCTTTAAGTTGTTTTAAATTGGATTACTCCTGATACTTTCCTGCTAAAAACATGTTTGACTCTTCACGATGCTAAATTTTGAACCTGAATAGAAGGTCTGAGTTGATGGTTCTTTTTAACAAACAAGCCGGAAACCAATAATTTAGCAAGTTTTTCATGGATGTAAAGCAGTCCTAATGCTTTGTAGACTGGCTGAATCTTATGAGCTAAACAAATCGTTTTGTTTCTGCAAAGGTCTGCGGCTCATACAAGCCTGCAGCACCAGTCAGACAGCAGAAMAATGTCCTGCACAACAGAGCGATAGCGTGGACTTGAATCAGAGCCCACCAAGAAAAAATAACTTTGCAGTCTACTGAATCAGTTCTACAAACTGTGTCTGTATGGAGGACCAAAACTGACATAATTACAATTAAAAGCAGAAATATATGAATGGACCAATAAGTACATAAATACATTTTAAAATGCACCAATTAAATTAAAAAAGGTGAACTTTATCTCATGTTTTATAATTTCACTGACCTTTATATTTATTTTCCCAGCTTAGTTCTAATAAATTATATATTTTAGCTCATAATTTACAATTTTTTGCTTTCCTTTTACGTGTAGATGTGAGTTTAAAATAAAGTCAAGGAGGAAAACACTTATCTGTGCCTTTGTTTTAAACTAAACTTTAAACTTTAGGCCAAACTGAGGGAGCACAAGCATAAACAATCATACTTCCTGCTCCTTCCTGTCTGCTAACCAATAGAGGAGCTGACTCAAGAAGGACCGCCCACTTTATTTACATATGGAGGCAGACAGAAATGCATAATATAGAGACATAGATGTATAAAAGCAACAC